ATAAACCCTCTTGGGAACATAGTAAACATTCAGAATAATGCAGAGAACTAGCTTTTTACAAGGAACACAATAGCCCTTTTCTTTTCTTTTTCTTTTTTTTTTTTTTTTTTTTTTTTTGGTTTTTCGAGACAGGGTTCCTCTGTGGCTTTGGAGGCTGTCCTGGAACTCGCTCTGTAGACCAGGCTGGCCTCGAACTCACAGAGATCCGCCTGCCTCTGCCTCCCAAGTGCTGGGATTAAAGGCGTGCACCACCAACACCCGGCACAATAGCCCTTTTCTATGTCTAGTTATGCTTGGGTTCTCTTTCAGAAGCCTGGCATGCTTCCAAAGTCCTACAGACTAAGCTGAAGTTAAACTAATTTCCAGATACTACACATTTAGCGAGCCTGTTGCCATCTCTCTTTGCATTTTGCAGTCTGAACTTTCCAGAGCTGCTGCTGCAAAGACTTCCCTTGTTGACTTCTCTGCATAGACCTCCAAGGGGCTGGTAAGAGCAGATAGCAGTACCCTGAGCACTGTCCCTGAGCAGTTGTGGACATAGCTCACACACCCATATGCCTAGCTCTCCAGAAACAGAAGCTAAAGAAATGCTTCCAGTTTTAAGCTAGCCTAGCCCATACACAGAGTTCTAACCAACCAAGACCCTTTGCCAAAAAACAAACAAACAAAAAAAATTAAATCAAATTTTAAAACGGGGGGGTGGGGAGGTGGTGGAGAGATGGCTCAGTGGTTAAGAGCACTGGTTGTTCTTCCAGAGGACCTGAGTTCAATTCCCAGCAACCACATGGTAGCTCACAATTATCTGTAGTGAGATCTGGCGCCCTCTTCTGGCCTGCATCATACATGCAGACAGACCATCACATATATATAATAAAAAAAATCTCAAAGGAGGCGGGCGTTGGTGGCGCACGCCTTTAATCCCAGCACTCGGGAGGCAGAGGCAGGCGGATCTCTGTGAGTTCGAGGCCAGCCTGGTCTACAAAGTGAGTTCCAGGACAGCCTCCAAAGCCACAGAGAAACCCTGTCTCGAAAAACCAAAAAAAAAAAAAAAACTCAAAGGATAAATAAATAAGATAAAAACAAGGCCAGGGTCATTAATGATGGTACAGACTTTTAATCCTAGCCCTCAGAAACAGAAGCAGAAAGATCTCTATGAGTTCCAGGCCAGCATAGGCTAAATAGTGAAACCCAAATCTAAAAAAGCGAAACAAAAAGCACCAGCAGACATGGTAGTTCACATTTATTATCCCAGCACAAGTCTGAGGATAGCCTGAGCTACACACCAAGTAGGCTTGAGCTAAAAACCTAAGACCCTATCACCAAAAACCAAAAGCTTAAAACCAGACATAGTGCTGCATGGCTATAATCCCAGAACTGAGATAACTGAGGCACAATTAAGGAGTTCAAGGCCAGACTGGACTGGAAAAAACAAAGCACTAATAATAGTAATAGAAGAAGCTACCATATGGTCCTTTCTGGACCCAGCATGAGGGCTGTGGGAGGAGGCTTGGAGACATTTGAGAACTTTTAAAACCCAGTATGGGAGGCTGGAGAGGTGACTAGAGGCTAACTGCACTGGCTGCTCTTCCAGAGAATCTAAATTCAATTCCCAGCAACCACATGGTGGCTCACAATCATCTGTAATGAGATCTGGTGCTCTCTTCTGGCAGGCAGGCATAGCATGTAGGTAGAGCACTGTAATATACATAATAAATAAATAAATCTTAAAAAAAACACAACTCAGTATCAGGTGAAACCATACAATTAAGTTTAAACTTTCTCTCCCCACCTCCCTTTTGGAAACAGGGTCTCAGGTAACCCAGGTTGGCCTAGAACCCAATATGCAATTGAGGATGACCTGATCCTCCTACCTCCACTACTCACCCAAGTACCAGCATGCCCAGTTTACATGGTACTGAAGATCTAACTCAGAGCTCCATACATGCTAGGCAAACATTCCATGAGTTACACCCCTGTCCCAGCTAAGTTTTCTGAGGCTGAAAATGGTATTACATATGTGTGAGAATATCATTAGAGTATTTAGAGATAAAATGTGAGGGTGCACACCTTTAAACCCAGCACTCAAGATGCATTTCTCTGTGGGTTGAAGGCCAGTCTGGTCTACAGAGCAAGATCCAGGCCATCCAAAGCTACATAGTAAAATCCTGTCTCAAAAAACAAAAACACAATTACAAAGTCTTGCTGCCTGTCCTTTCCTCTGAGATAAATCTTAAACAATGTTCATAAATGACAATCCAGGCTGATGGCGAAGCCTCTAAGCAAAATCAACATATTTCAAAAACAAAAACCAGTAGGAAAAAAAATCCCCAAAGAAAAAGAATATACCTATCTTTTGTGTTTTATTTTTACTTCTAGCAAAACCCAACAATGAAAAAATGGATGTTTGCCAGGCATAGTGGTACATACTAGTTCCAGGACAGTCAGAGCTGCTATAAAGAGCCCTATCTTGAGCCCCCAACCCAACCCCCCAAAAAGATGCTTGTTTTGCGAAGCATCTCCCTCTGTAGCCTAGGCTGGCCTCAAACTCATAATCCTCCTGCCTCAGCATCCTGAGTGCTGGGATTACAAATACACCACACTAGGCTCATTTAATTCTTTACTTATATATTTACCACTTTCTTATAACTCAATTTGTGGTAAAAATATACACTTAAAAGAAGCTAGAGATAAAATTCATAGTTATAACAGGCTCATTCTCTAGTAAGACCCCCCCCCAAAAAAAAGCCCACTAAGACACTTAAAAGAGCCAAGCAGTAGTGGTCTACACGGTTAATCTCAGCACTCAGCACTCAGAAGCAGTCCAACAGGTACAGGAGTGCTAGTTACCCTGCAGCTGAGCTGGTGGTGTTGAGACCAGTGGTGGGGGCAGAGCCTCACTATCACTTCTCACCCTCACTTTTGTACTGTTTCTCCTGAGTGCTGGGATTAAAGGACTGTGCCACCACGCTCAGCCTAGGGTGGTTCATTTTAGTCATCAATGTAACTAGATTAAGGACACCTTTTCTAGCAGAGACTGGCATGAACTAAACGGACTAAGTAGGACAAATCCAATCTCATCTCCTGACTTTGGACACAGGAACTGACTTTGGAACTCAGGAACTCTGGCCTTTGCCCTTACACCAAACTCCTTGAAGTTCTCAAGTTGTGAGCCTCACACTGCAAATTACACAGCCTTCTTGTTTCAAGCATTGAGATTTGCCTTGAACCACACTATTGGAATGCCAAGATTTTTCAGCTGTTAGACTGCCTGTCATAGGATTTCTCAGTCTCTACAATCATGAGTCAGTTTTTCCACTCTTCTCCCATATAGCCACATTGTGTTGATTCTGTCTCTCTGGAGAGTGCTGACTAATACACAAGTTAGGAACCAACAGAAGGAATGAGTGACAGACTCCAGCTCTAGAGTATGAGACAGACAAACCAAATACTGACATGGGGTCATGCAAGAAGTCTATCAGAAAGGTCAAAGGCTAACACCTGATGATGGGAAATTGCTGTAAGTGATTTTTTTCTTCCAAACCAAGCAATTATCATCTTGGGGTGTTCAGCTGAATCTCCTTGTAAAAAGATTATCCCAGTTGGACTTATTGACTGTTTACATCCTCCTCCCATGCAGACACAGGGAGGGTCATGAGATTCCTACCAGAGCACTCAACCCTCCCTACCTCCCATTATATGCAGCACTACCTTAATCGCACATGGTTCCAGGAGTGTTAATTAGACTGGGGAAGATGAGGGAAGGAACTCCATCTCTGCAGCTACAAGGAAGCCTCATACCTGATGGTTAAAGATTTTTCACCTAGGGACTGTTGGGGGAGGAGCACCCACACCCCTGTAAGAAACCCCTCATCTTTGCTCTAAAGAAAACCCAATAACCACATTGGTTCCCCAGAGTGAATTCAATGGGATTATGTTCCAGTTTGTTGTTGTGATCTTAGGAGTGGACATTGCTTGTATCTCCTGGGAAGGAATTTTAGTAACTGGGGTTATAAGACAGAAAGTAGTTGGCCAGAGAAAAAGAGATTTTAAGCAAAGTGTAGATGTATAGATAATATCTATACAGTAATACTTTTCTAGCTTTGGGCCTTAGCATTGAAAAGATATCAAAGGAATGACTGTAACTTACGCAAACCTCTTAGATGGCATTATAATGGGGTGAGGGGTAAAGTGTCACATCTTGAAAACAGTCGTGCATATAAGGAGATGGAAAACAATGCAGCAAACTGCTGACAATTACTACGCTCATCACACACTGTTTCTTTCAACTTCCACGGCTTTACATTTACAGAAAAGTAAAAAGGAAACTCACACATACACACCCCAAAAGTCAGGCATGGTAGGGAGCCAGAGGCAGGTAGATGTCTGAGTTGGAGGTCAGTCTAGTCTACAGAGTAAGTTCCAGGACAGCCAGAGTTACATGAAGAAACTGTCTTGAAAACAAAACAAAACTCCCCAACAACAATGGAAGTCAAGCCAGTCATGATCCAGTTTTGAAAAATGAGAACAGGCCCAGCAGAGAACCAAACTGAAAAACAAACTCTTAAGACCTCTTCAGTGCTAGGGTGGTTGATGGAGTCTCCACAGCAGACTGTGAGAGCTTCAAAGGAAAGAGAAGACCCAGTCACTTCCGGTGCCAGTAACCCCACTTGGTACAGCTAAGACTGCCAGCTACCAGCCCTATAGAAACTGTTACAGGGGAGGAGTGCATAAGGCCTCTCCTTGAGGACCTACAGGCAGTTAGTCAGTGGCTGCTGAGGGAGGACAGCCACTAGTAAAGTACTCATGTCACCCAACTCTCCTGTAAGAGACCCTAATATACTCAGTGGCTCTACAGAAACAAAACAGAAATGCATAAGGAGGACTAGGAGGGAAGAAGACAGCACTAAGGTGAACATGATCAAAACACATTATATACATGTATGAAAGTATCACAATGAAACCCAATAACGAAAACATTGGAAAAATAAAACAGAGCTTACCTGAAGTAATCACATGATGCAGCCAGCAGAATTCGATGAGCCTCAATATGTCTCCCCTCTACCACCAAGACAACATCAAAGAGGATCCCACTGTCTCGCAAAGCAAGCAGGCCCCGGAGCAGGGCCTGGGAGTGCTGTGTGCTTCGGTAGGTGTTGCTGACACAGTTTGAGTGGGAGGGCTGTGTTGGCAGCTTGCACAGCTGGGCAAATTCCTGCTCCTCTGCCATCCTGACAGCCACAGCAGCCCTCACCACTGTAGTCAGCTGCAAGACAGAGGGAACAAGGAGTGAGCACAGAGGGAGCTGCACGATGCCACACAGGCCGATGGCACTGCAGCTGTGGCACCTGCCACAGTGACTTCCCTGAGATCCCAAAGCCTTTTCCCTGCTTCCTCCCAGCCATGGTCCCACTTGGCCTTCTGTCTTATAACCTGGTCTCTTCATCCACAAGGTCTTCATCCTACTGTGTCACCTTCAGTGCTGCAGGAAAACAGAAGTATTCTGAGGATGGCAGGATGACTCACAAATGTAATCCCAGCTACTTGGAAGGCTGAGACTAGAAGATCACAAACTCAAGAGCAGAAAACTTAAGAGAATTAAAAAGAAGACAGGAGGCCGGGCAGTGGTGGCACACACCCTTGATCCCAGCATTCGGGAGGCAGAGGCAGGTGGATCTCTGTGAGTTCGAGGCCAGCCTTGTCTGCAGAGTGAGTCCCAGAGCAGGCTCCAAAGCCACAGAGAAATCCTGTCTAAAAAAAAAAAAAAAAAGACAGGGGTGTGGTTCATTAAGCACTTGCCTAGAATTTGATCCCGAGCCCTGGACACAGAAGAATTTTGGGAAAAGACTTGAGGCAGAATAGAAAGACAGAAAGCTAAGAGAACATGGGAGAAACACACAGCCTCTCACCACCACGGCCAGGTTTATTTTTCATTGGCTGAGAGTTAAGAACGTCCATGTAACTGTCAAGACACTAAAAGATGGCCTACAACAATAAACCAGCCTTTAAAGAAGATTTCAAAGCAACAGGAATACTAAAACAAGCCAGACTCAGTGACTCGGCCTTTAATCCCAGCATTCTGAGTTTAAGGCACTTTGAGTCTGGTCTACTCAACAAGTAAACTCCAGGCCAGCCAGGTTACAGAGTGAGACCCTGTTTAAAAAAAAAAAAAAGTGCTAAAACAGCAAATAGACTTTGCCCAAGGCCAAACATATGTGGCCTTTGAGTTTATCAGTGTTAGCTCTTTCTTATCCCTAAAGTTAAAAATGCACCTCATTAACACTTTGCAATTTCACATTTTTTTTGTTGTTGTTTGCTTTTCTAAAACAGGGTTTCTCTGTGTAGCTCTGGCTGTCCTACAACTCACTCTGTAAACCAGGCTGGTCTCAAACTCAGAAATCTGCCTGCCTCTGCCTCTGCCTCCGAAGTGCTGGGATTCAAGGCATGCATCACCACTGCCTGGTTCAAAAGGAAAATAAGTAGGTATTGGAGAGATGGCTCAAAAATTAAAAGCACTGGCTACTGCTCTTCTAGAAGATCAGTTTAATTTCTGGGACCCACATAGTATCTTATGCTGTTTGTAACTCCAACTCCAAGGGGATCCAATGCCTGCTTCTGGCTTCCACAGGCACCAGATATGCACATGGTGCACAGACATACATGTAGGCAAAACACCCATGTACATAAAGTAAAAATAAATCTTTTGCCTGTAATCCTAGAACTTGGGAGACAGAGGCAGTTGGAGCTCTGTGAGTTCCAAGGCTAGCCTGATCTACAGAAGGAGTTCCAGGACAGCCAGAATTACAGAGAAACCCTGTTTTGAAAAAACAACAACTTTGTGGGAGGGGAGGAAGGACTAGAGGATGGCTCAATGGTTAAGAGCATGTACTGCTCTCTTCCACAGGACCAGAGTTCAATTCCCATCACTCATGTCAAGCAGTTCACAACTGCCTGCAACTCCAGCTCTACAGGGATCTGATGTCTAGCTTCTATGGGCACCTGCACTCACATGCAGGCAGATATATAAACAAACACACACACACACACACTACACATTTTTTAAAAATCAAGGCCATCCTTGTAACAAATAAGAGTCTGAGGCTAACCTGAGCTACAGCAAAAAAACAACCAAACAAACAAACGAACAAAACAAAACAAAAACCCAAACCGCCGGGCAGTGGTGGCGCACGCCTTTAATCCCAGCACTCGGGAGGCAGAGGCAGGTGGATCTCTGTGAGTTCGAGGCCGGGCTGGACTGACAGCCTCCAAAACAATACAGAGAAACCCTGTCTTGTAAAAAAAAAAAAAAAAACCCAAACCAACAAATATTACCTTCTAAAGCTGGGTGTAGTGGCTCAGGCCTTCAATCCCAGCACTAGGGAGGCAGAGGCAGGTGGATCTCTGTGAGTTCAAGCCTGGTCTACATAGTAAGTTCCAGGACAGCTACAACTATTTAGAGAAGACCCTGTCTCAAAAAAAAAAAACAGTACATAGTCAGCTACTAGGGGTCAGGAAGCAACCAGCCTGAAGGTAAGATAGGGCCTGTGGCCAACTTCTTTACCTCATGCCACCTTACTTACCATCCCCAGTTCCCTACCATATCTTTAATAATAAAAATGAAAACAAGGGTCAGTGCAAAATGGCTCAGTGAGTAAAGATATTTGCTCTATAAGCCTGGTAACCTGAGTTCAATGCCTGGAACCCACAAAGAGACTTGACTCCACACATACACTGTTTTGCACACACACACAATAACAACAAATAAATAAAGCTACAAAAGTGAGTGTGTGTGTGTGTGTGTGTGTGTGTGTGTGTGTGCCAGATCCTCTGAAATGTACTTGTGAGCCATCAGCTGGGGTGCTGGGAACAGAACCCAGGTCCTCTGTAACAGCAGTAAGCACTCTTACACTACTGAACCATTTTGTCAGCCCCAAATATGCATATTTTAAAATGAAAAACAGACGTTAACACAAAACTGGTCAAAAAAGCCTTCTTTCTACTGCGAGAGCACACCTCTCCCCACCATCACCTCCTCTGCAAGACCCCTATGCCCTCAAGCCTCTGTGGCCTCCCCTCACACATGCTCATCTGTCCCCCATCTGTCTCCTGGGTGCAGGACCTGTGGGTTTACCCACACTTTCCTTCTACCCTGACCTGGTTGCTTTCTCACAAGGCCCTAGAGATGGTTAGAGCTGTATGTGCCACCGTCTATCTCTGGGTTAGGATCTCTCAAGCCTGGAGACTCTTGCTTGATATTAAGGCCTCCTCTCCTGATCTCTTCCTCTCCTTTAATTCATCCATTTCCCCAGGACATACATTCCCAATGGCATCTCCAGCAAGAATCCCTTCCCACTGGTCTGGCTTTGTCAATTGTGCACTACATTTTCTATGTGAAACTTCCTAACCTCAATTACACCCCCCCCTTCTAGATAGGGTTTCTCTGTGTAGCCCTGGAACTCACTATGTAGACCAGGCTGGCCTCAAACTCAGAGATCCACCTGCCTCTGCCTCCCACACCCTGCCCAGCTTTTCTTTTCCTTTTCAAGCCTATGTTTTGTAAGATTCTTTGGTCTTGACTCTTCAGTATCTTGGATAGCCATTCCCTTATTCTTCCACAGTCACAGTTTAGAGTCAGAGCATAGGAATGTTGTTCTAACAGATTTTCCTCTCACTTCATTCTCTCCAGGCTCTTCTGCTCAGGATGGACAGGAAACCAGAAATGCTCTGACAGCTGTCATCCTCTGAACAGGACCAGGTCTGTTTCTCATAATCCTGTTCTGGCTACGACCTAGTTGATCACATCTACCTGGTACCTTCATACAATCTCAACAAACATGCTCTGGTGTGAACCTGCTTTCTCTACCCTTGAGAGCTTGCGGCACAAGCATCTTAGGGTTACTTCCTATGGCCACATCTGATAACTATAAATTCTGGGTACTTGGCTGCTAGCTCCAAACCTCAGCTTCCACATCACCACCACAAATACTTAGTCAGAAGAACTTCCTCATCTGTGGATGACTATGAGGACTAATTGCCATAGCAGACACTGACCCGCACCCCATCGAGTGGGGGGAAGGCACAGTCATCAGCCGGGCAGCCTGCCTGCCATCTTGGAAAGGGATGGATACCATTCACTTTCTAAACAGCCACCACAAGAACAAGTAGAGTAAAACAAGCCTCACTCAGGAGTGCTGATATAAGAGGACCACAAGTTTGAAGCCAGCCTGGAATATGTAGAGACTTGTTATAATTAAACAAATAAAGGAAGAAGTAGGATTAGAGAGAAGGTTCAGAGAAACTATTCTTGCAGAGAACTCGTTTGGTTCCCAGCACCCACATCAGGTGGCTCAGTTCCAGGGGTCCCGACGCCCTCTGCTGGCCTCCAGGGCACCTTCACTCCTTCACGAAGGCACACATACATAGACACCTTTAAAAACACAGACTGCAAATCTACAGCATTCCTTTGGCTTCTGCTTATAAGCTCAGGCCCCTCCCACAGTCCACTGTACAAACATGTCTGACTTAGGGGGCCTATTCGATCCTGCATTGCTCGCCACTGCAGTTGTGCACTGAAAACTACTTTACGGAAATCTTCAACTTATCGTTTCCTGAAAAGGCATCCTCAACCCTCTGTAGGGCTCCCAATCAGTATCTGTCCTCAACGCACCCCAATCTTCAGCAGTACCACAGAAGATGTGCAACAAAAGAAAAACCAGCAGCTTGGAAAGAGCAGAGAAGGGAGTGGGTCCTTATTTCCAAGGAGGGAATCTCCAAGGGGTGCTGACGTACTCTGTGTCTTGTTTCCCAGGGCGCAGACTGCGAGCATCTCTGAGCTCGGCCTGACCCCAGAGAGCAGCCTTGGGCAGAAGGTGGTCCGGTTGCGTCCCACCCGCTCGGTTCCTTTGGCCTGACAGGATCTAAAATGATCCAAACTAGTACAGCCCAGGGATTTTGCACTGACAGCGCGAACTCTCCCGCTTCTCTGGACAACCGCAGCCGCGGCTGAAGAGTCTGAGGTCACGCCAGGCGCGGCAGTCAGGCCCGCCCAGGCGCCTGTTGCAATCCCTGCTCACGTAGCCTCGAGGGTCGGGGACTGGCCGGAGGCCACACTCGGACCCGCGGCTAGCGACAGAGCCTCGCCGATCCGGCTGAGACGGCCACGGGCCGCCTCATCCGCGCGAAGGCCTCAGCCGCCCGCACCACGGCGCCAGGCCCCACGGTGCCGTACGCCTGGGGGTCGCCCCGCCGAGCCCCCGCCACGTCAGGCAGTCACCGCGCCCGCCCTGGGCGCCGGAGGCTCCTGGCCCGGATCCCCGCTCCCGCTCCCTCCGCCGCCGCCGTCGCCCCCGCCGCCCCCGCTCCCTTCCCCGCGTGCAGCGCGAGCTCGGCGACGCAGGCCGGCTGGGCCCACACGGTACACGCCTCGCAGCTGACCTGGTGCTGCCGCTAGCTGAGGCTGCTCTCGCAGCAGGCGGGAGGCCGGAGGCGGGGGTGGAGCCTCACCGTCACGTGAGACACCGCGCAGGCGCAAGTTGGCTTACGGGGGAGGGGGCGGAGGGGCGGGGCGAAGCTGAAGGGCCCTAGAGGGGTTGCTCGACTGGGGCTTGCTGGTCTGGAAGCGCCACCCATGAGGTGCCCTTTGAAGGTGCAAATCTGTATCCTCCTTCCCCTCTCTCCTTGCCTCGGTCTTGCCCTCACTCATTCATAGCTTCTTTTCTCTTCACCCATTCATTTATCATCTCACTCATTGCCTTCTTGCGTTCGCATTATTTCTTTTTTGTTGTTGTTTTGGTTTGGGTTGTGTTTTTTTTTTTTCTTTTTGGTTTTTTTGAGACGGTTTCTCTGTGGCTTTGGAGGCTGTCCTGGAACTAGCTCTTGTAGACCAGGCTGGTCTCGAACTCACAGAAATCCTCCTGTCTCTGCCTCCCGAGTGCTGTGATTAAAGGCGTGCGCCACCAATGCCCGGCCCTTGTTGTTTTGTTTTGCTTTGTTTTTCGAGACAGGTTTTCTCTGTGGCTTTGGAGGCTGTCCTGGAACTCGCTTGGTAGTCCAGGCTGGTCTCGAACTCACCGAGATCCACCTGCCTCTGCCTCCAAGGCGTGCGCCACCGCCACCCTGTGTGCTCGCATTGTTTCACTGGTTTACTCACCGCTTACTCGCTTACCTCACTCATGCCTCCTTTCATTCACTATTTCTCCCTGCATTACTTCATTCCCGTCTTCACTTTTCATTGCATCACTGTTACCTTACTTGTTCTGCTCACTCCTTTCCTGTCTTCCTCTCTCAAGTCGCTCTCACCCTCATTGTCTTCCTTTCCCTTGACCTGATGATTCTCTGGATTTCCTCAGTGGCTCCTATTATGTTCCCTCTTTCATTTCTGGTTTTGTTAACTTGCATGCTCTCTCTGTGTCTTTTGGCTACTTTGGATAAAGGTTTGCCTATTTTGTTGAATTTCTTCAAGAACCAACTCTTTGTCTCATTGATTCTTTGTATTGCTTTCTTTGTTACTATTTTATTGACCCTTCTGGGCGAGTGTGCTTCTTTTTGTTCTAGTGCTTTCAGTTGTTCTGTTAATTCACCAGTGTGTAATTTTTTTTGTTTCTTTATGTAGCCATTTAGTGCTGTGAACTTTCCTGTTAGAACTGCTTTCATTGTGTCCCATAAATTATTTCTTCCTTGACCCAGTGGTGATTCAGGTGATCATTGGTTCAATTTCCATGTGTTTGTGGGTTTTCTGAAATTAATGTTGCTGTTGAATTCTAACTTTAAGCTGTGGTTATCTGATAGGGTACAGGGGTTTATTCCAATTTTTTGTATCTGTTGAGGTTTTGCTTTGTTACCAAGTGTGTGGTCTATGTTTGAGAAGGTTCGATGAGGTGCTGAGAAGAAAGTCTATTGTCTTGTGTTTGGATAGAATGTTCTAAGATGTCTGTTAAGCCCATTTGAGTCATAACATCTGTCAGTTCCCTTATTTCTCTGTTAAGCTTCTGGCAGACATGACCACTGGTAAGAGTGGGGTGTTGAAGTCTCCCACTATTCTTGTATGGGGCTTGATTTGTGATTTAAGCTTTAGCAATGTTTCTTTTACAAATAAATCTCTTCTGAAGGGTGATGTGTGTCCATTCTTTTTCATGAAACTTCCAATGATAGACCAAAGTAAGGGTCCCACCCAAGTCCATGTTTATGAACCAATGAATTTATTAGGCTTACTTATAGCAACATGGGCAACCCTAAAAAGCTGTGTCACTTCAAAGTGCCACCCTGTCATTAATGATGACCTCATGAGAGCTATATCATGAAGTCTCAGTTTCAGTTAACCTTCCACTTTTTTTTGTTTTTGTTTTTGTTTTTCAAGACAGGGTTTCTCTGTCTTGTTTTGGAGGCTGCCTTGGAACTCTCTCTGTAGACCAGGCTGACCTCGAACTCACAGAGATCTGCCTGCCTCTGCCTCCCAAGTGCTGGGATTAAAGGTGTGGGTCACCAACGCACGGCAGAAGTTCTTCTGAAGGGTATGTGTCAGCCCCTTCCAGGAACCTGCTTCTTTTTAAGTCATAACAAGAGAGATGGGAATTCTTTTACAACAGTTAAAGGAAGTTACTTGGTCTTATTGTTAGGATAGAGGTTGGTTCTGGGAGGAACTGATAAACAGGCCCTCAAAATTAAGACATAAAAAACAATGGCTTTGGACTGGAGAGATGGCTCAGAGGTTATGAGCACTGACTGCTTTTCCAGAGGTCCTGAGTTCAATTCCCAGTAACCACAGAGTGGCTCATAACCATCTGTAATGAGATCTGGTGCCCTCTTCTGGCTGACATGCATGCAGGCAGAATATTGTAATAAATTAAAAAACAAAGAAACAAACAAAAAACAATGGCTTGGCCAGCTCACAGTCCTGAAACAGGTATAAAGATAATTGTAGTGGTCACAATATGAGGAGGACAACAGGAGTACTCTAGATAGGCCAGCTTAGGACCCCCTAAAAACAAGATATAGGTGCAAATAGCTATTAATGGTCCATGCTAGTTAAGTCACATAAAGCAAAAGGGGGTGAATTTGGGCCTGTTCTCTTTAACCTGATTTACACTGGCTAGCTCTTGGGTTCAACCCAATACAAAGAAAGTTTATGGGATTGGAGAGATGGTTCAGAAGTTAAGAGCACTGGCTGTTCTTCCAGAGGTCCTGAGTTCAATTCCCAGCACCCACAGGGTGGCTCACAACCGTCTATGATGGGATCTGGTGCCTGAAGTGACCTGCCCCCCATTTTAGCAGCCATGACAGGGTAACATGTGCTTACATGACCTTCCCACTCCTGTCCTGGTCACTAGGAGGTCAGATGCCCTCCTCATGGCAAGGAACCAATCAGAAGTTATCTGGCAGGGCTGTGCTTTACAGCTCTGAGTGTTCTTTACAGACAAGTGCACAACAGTGACATGCAGAGCATAGCAACCACCCTGGGAGGGCCTATGGGCCATAACAACCAGTTGACCAATCAACACAGGGCAGGTTGAAACCTGGAATCACACCAACCCTGAGATTGTTTCATACCCCTAGACACTCCCCTTACGCTGCCCTTTAAGATCTCCACCTCCAGGGTTCTTGGGGTCTTTCTCCAGCCATCTGCCATGGTGGATGGATAAAGGGCCCAAGCTAATGGGTTAGCTCATTGCTAAACAACTACAATAAAAGACTCTTTGCTTTTGCATCGAAATGGGCCTCTTGGTGATTTTGGGGTTCAGAATTTGTGCACAATGGTGCCCTCTTCTGGTTGGCAGGCATACATACTTCTGGTGTGCAGAATACTATACATAATAAATAAATCTTTTTAAAAAATCAAGCTTGTTTCAAATCTGTCCCAAATAGTAGTGATCTTATTCTCACGTGGGATTAGAATTTTCTGGAGAGCCCCAGCAAAATCAGACCACTCACCAAAATTCTCCAGGATTGCCTGAAAGGTTCAGGCATTATACTGGCCTGCCCTGTTACCTGGCAGAATGCACTCAGGCAGCACTCTGGTCAGCCCAGGGTTCCATGAGTACAGGTTGTACGCAGGTGCAAAGGACCCCCACCCACTTATGCTCTCTTACCTCTCTTACCTCTTCTCCATCGCCCCTCTCTTAACCCCCCTCCTCTCTCTCCTCTCCATGCTCTCTCTCTCTTCTCCTTCCTCAAGTCTGTCTCCCCTCTCCATCTCTCACTGCCGTAATAAACTGGTTAATGTACTCTCTATGGCGTGTGCTCCATTGTGCCTGTCCTGGTTCCATCATGCGGCCTTTTCGTCTTTTTTCTAATTTTTAAACTTTTACAAAAGAACAACACTCCCTTCATTTCGTAGACTGTCAGCATGAACTTTCCTGCTGAGAAAAGCAGCAAGCATCTATGGAGGCTTCCTGGTAAGTTATAGTCTGGTTTTGGTTTTGTTTTGTTTTTTGAAGACAGGGTTTCTCTGTGTAGCCATGTAGACCAGGCTGGACTTGAACTCACAGAGATCTGCCTGCCTCTGTCTCCTGGAGTATGCCACCACCACCCAGCTGTCTGGTTCTGTTTTGTGGGATTCCTGTGTGGGATGTGGAGGGGGTTCGATGGGACCCTAATATTCTCTTGTCCAGGGCAAAAAACAAAACGTCACACCACCCACCTGAGGTTCTTGGTCTGGTTTTATGGCCTATTTGTCTTGTCTTTGACTTCATTCTTATTTTTTTTTCAATGTATTTTTTATTTAAATTAGAAATATGCTTGCTTCACATGTGGATCCCAGCTCCCTCTCCCACCCCTCCTCCCTTGCCCCTCTACCAGGCTCCCCCAACCCCCAACCCAATCCCCACACTATTCCCCAGGCAGGGTGAGGTCCTCCATGGGGGATTTCCAGAGTCTGTCACTTCATCTGGGGCAGGGCCTAGATGTGTCCAGGCTGAGAGAGGTTCCCTCCATATGGAATGGGCTCCCATAGTTCATTCATATGCTATGGTAAACACTGATCTACTACCCAAGGCTCTAGATATTGCAGAGGCCTCCTCACTGACACCACATTCAGGGGGTTCTGGATCAGTCTCAAGCTGGCCTCTCAGTAATCAGTCTGGGGTCCAAGAGCTCCCTCTTATCAGGTCCGCTGTCTCTGTGGGTTCACCAGCATGGTCTTGACCCCTTGGCTCACCACTCCTTCCTCTGTCACTGGGTTCCAGGAGTTCAGTTCAGTGTTTAGCTGTGGGTGTCTGCCTGTGCTTCCAACAGTTACTGGATGAAGGTTCTAGGATGGCATATTAGATAGTCATCAATCTTATTATCAG